GGTAAAATGTGACGTTTTCGTAGTTTCCGTGGCAAAATGAACGATTGACTACAACCTTAAAATTTCACTTTTGCTCAGTTTACATAAAATTCGCTCATTAGATTTTCCTATAAACTTGCACACAGGTTACTATTAATCATTACCATTTGAAACTTATTTGACAAAATTTTAACAGACAGATTTTTAGATAATCAATACATTGTAATATAATTGTACTATAATTATTAAATGTGTCTCAAAAGTCATCATTATTTAAAATACAATAAAAGTAAAAATTCTGCCAAATATCACAAAATTTTAATGAGTAGATTTTGGGAAATGGTGTTCTCTGTACCATTGCTTTTTTTGCCGATATTCAATTCCAGCTCTTTAAACAAACTAACTATTCGTCCTTCAAAAACTGAAGCCATAATATTGAGCAAACAGGAATTTGTTGGTCCTACTCTACCCATAAAAGGCATTCATTCTGGTGATGGATAAATGAAACTTGTTGATACTAAAACTTGTCTGGGAGTCACAAAAAGTGGGTGCTTTAAGAAGAATGTCATACTTACCTCAGTCAGCTTCAGAAGAAATGTAATTTTTAAAGCAATCATACCCAGTATCACTTATCCCTTTAAGTCCCAATAGTGACCAACATCAATTTTCTCCTAACAATATCTATACAATGTCAAGAGATTAGGTTATGAGAATTAATTAAATGATCACCAAAGAGAAAATGCTTTGATCTTTTGTCAAATTCTCTCAACTTATTCTTTAAAGAAATGTATAGAGATCAGTTTGGAGAATTTGCTGGTGGATATTGGGTTTAAAGGGTTATGCAATATCAGTGTGGGGGAATTGATCTCAATCATATCTTCACAGCCTAGATCATATACACGCAAGTGCATGTCGTATAATCAATCACCTGCATTCTACGATAGAAGATGACTTATGCCTTTCCCGAATTAACTGGCTTCCTATTGATTATATCTATAAAAGACACATCCTACTGAAGATGTTCCATATCCTTATGGGATCTGCCCCTAGTCAAATCTCAGGGCTATTTTCTAAACCATCTAGACCAACAAGATTTAGTAACCAATTCAATATCATTAGAATAAATACTGAAGTTGGTAGAAGTTCTTTTCAATACAGAGGTCTGGTAATCTGGAATTTTATCAATAAGAAGGTTAAGTTTAGCAACATTAGCAAAGACGCTTTTAAAACCATTATAAGAAAGCAATCAAAAGATTTATTTCAATTCTTTTTTAGTAAAGAAGCAATAATGATTTCAAATAAGAAAGATGATTTTGTTTAATTTTAGCATCTTAGCATTTATTTTACCAAATTCTTATTAATAAATCTCAGGAAAATATTTTTTATTACTATTATTTTTTTAATTTTATTAGTTAGATGACTTCATCTTCTCACAGGTCCACATCAGCCTTTGGCTGCCCTCACATGTAGACTAACCTGCATTATCAAATAAAGGATTGATCGATTGAGAGCATTTGAGCAAAGATCTAAGCATTTTCCCTTTGGTGATCATTCTCAGAACTCTTATAAACTTTTCTCTGATGATGTATTGATACTCTTTGGAGAAAATTAATAATGGCCACTCTTCGGACTTAAAGGGTTAAAACAAACGATTAATTATCTAAATTCGTCTCTCGAATTGAAATCTAGCCAATTATTCATCTGAGAGATAACTCGTCTAGACGGTTCTCTAGTATACATGTTAATTCGGCGAGTATTAATTTAATAATATAATTGAAAAACCCTCAAACCTCTTGATGGATTAGGTAAAAGAGGAATAGCCAGAAGACAACACAAATATATAAAAGAAAAGCCATTGAATCTGAAACAACAAGCTGAAAAGCAAACAAACAGAGAAACAATTTTTAAAAAATGTCAAGTAATAATAAATATCCAATAAATTACGTCACCGATGATTTGTTGGTGTTCGTTGCCCCAAATTAAATTTCTTGAAAGAAACATTAGGCCAAAACGTGTACTGATCGCATTTCAAAATCGTCAGAAATTTACAAAGGAGAAAGCGATTTACGATTAATGGCAATTTATTTGTGTTACGTGCGTCCTAGCAGGTCTGTGAACTTTAAACTGATCATGAAACCCGCGCAAACGTTACGCACCAACTTTCCCAAAAACTTCCTACGTTTCACAAAATTTGGCGCTTTTAACGAAATGTAATCAACAAAATCCACCTTCAAAGCTGATTTTTTGACTGGTTTATAACAACAATACGATCAAAAAACGTCTGCAAGTTTGTTTTTAGGTGCGCTGTAGCCCGTGATGGCTAACTGCTCAAACACCGGTGCCACACTGGATACTGAAAAAACACACCCACCTCCTAACAAGACTAGTGGAAGAATCCATCTGAATAAAAGCGTACAAACTAAAGGTGAAGACATCCTATTGAAGTCCAGCAAATGTTTCAGAACCAAGAAGATGAAAAGCTGGCGTTTTCCTCAGCGGAATAAATATGTCAGTCTCCACTTTCTCAGCCCCCTTAACGGGGGACATGTCTAAACAGCTTCATAAAAACGTTATGAACGTACAACAAGAAAACAAAAGACGTTTAAAATGGATTCTATCTCCGCAAACGAAACTAGTGAGCGAATTTCAACCGCAAATTACCAAGACGAAACCAAAAAAGACTCCAAAAAGTCTCAACTCAATTCAAAAGCAGGTCAAAAGCAGTGAAAATATAATGAGCCTGCGATTCACCGGAGTATGCGTTTCATAGCAACTTTGCTTCATGTAAAGCATCCTTTTGTGTCAAATTGACTGACCCAGGACAGAGGTATATTTATTATAGTGACCCGGCTGATGACGAGCACTTTTTAGAGAATACTTCGCCAATCTCTTCTCTTTCATTTAATTTGATTGATTTTAACAAAGCACAGTAACTATAAGAACGCAGACAATGCTAGTTGAGAGAGTGTTTAGGGACGGACCATTAGTTATGGGGGAAGGGGTGGGGGGGGGATTTTCGAGCTGCAGCATCAAATCCCTTGTATGAATTTTTTTAGGCCGAAGCATGAATATTTTTAGGGTTAATTGGCGTGCATGAATTTTTTTTCATTTAATTTTCCCTTGCGCGAATATTTTTTTGTACTTCGCCCCCCCTCCCCCCCCCCATAAGTTTTCTAATGGTCCGTCCCTTAATAGGCGACATATTTATAATTATTATTATTTAGTTATTCTTATTTTACTGTAATATTTTATTCATTTGTTCTCTATACATAATGCGATATATTTTTAGAACGTAAAGACGGAACCCAATTTTCTAAACTCAATCATATAATATTCTTGTGATGTTCAATTTTATTTTATTTATTTACTTTTTTTTTCTTCCTACAAACTAACATTGTATTTTTAGCTTGCAAATTTTTACTGAAATTACGTCATTTTTACTTTTTAGGAGCGAGACCTTATTCTACTTCTAACATCGATATAAGGAACCCCTGATTAGCGCCACTTATTACACATTGTACTCATTAGTTGTCTTCTCATTGGCTAAGAGCCTACAGCTAATTTTGGAAATCAGTGCAACCTACAGATAAGTTAGTTATCTGCTAGCAGATAACTGACTTCTATGTAGGTTGCACGCAAAATGCATGATTTCTAATAGCAATATCACTAGACCAATTCCGATGTATTCACTTCATTTTTGAGCCTCAAGATGATTTCTTTTGTTTTATTCCTCCAAGCCTCCGAGCTAAGTGTGAATTTTAATACCTCGAAAATGGTCTATTCAGATTTCTTACGATGTAGACTTTCTCAAAGCCCGTTTCCGGTTTCGGCTGGTTAGGTGGTGACTGAGGGTCTCAATGGGGTTAAGCGATAGTCGTAAAAGGGCCAAAAATTTAGTCGATAGCCGTAAAAATTGAAAAATTTTAACCGTTAGCCGTAAATAGGGTAAAAAAGAGTTAACCGTAAAAGAAATTGTTCACTGGATTTGCTAATTTTAAGGAAGGTACTAAACTCACTTATGGTTGCATTTTTTATTTCCCGGCTAGTGTTGCTCCGTACGCACGTTAGGTGAAGCGCCTTTTAGGTGTTGACCAAGACCCTGGTTCCATTTCCGCCGCTCTCTTGGGGAACTTATGTTTTTTTCCATGGTGAAAGTGTGACTTCTTGCTGGGGGATTAATATTTGCGATTTTCAGGAGGTCGTGCCCTCGAAACACTAGTGAAACAACACGTAGAGGTCTCACTGTTTGAAAACACGTTGCCGATAAACAACATTTTCCTGTTTTTCTCTGACGCTACGGTAGACGTTGCCATGCTTAGTCCCTGTACGGCTTCTTCCCCTGCAATCTCGGTCAAGGCATTTCGGTGGCGAAGTCGCTCGGACCACGTGACCCGAAAAGCATTAGCCGCGAGAAATAATGAGGCCTACCGACAAGGAAACGGCTGACAGTGGCTCCGTACAGTCCTTCGCTATCATTAAAAACACTGGACACGGGAATTTTGTCATTGGCCGTTTTCACACTAGAGCTAGAAACGGATTATCCGTCTGAGACTAGCCTGTGTACAGTCGCCCCCTTCCCGACAGACACCCCTTCTCCGATTTTTTTCTGAGGGGAGAGGACGGCTGTACACAGGCTATCTGGAACGGATAATCCCGTATTCAAACTGTCCGTCGAAATTGAATGATAAAGTCAGGCGGATTGCTCATTCAAAATTAAAACTATTCCATTTTCAAATTAAGACGCATTAGCTATCTAACGCGAATTGTTTTTAGCACTAAATAGAAGGCATAAGCTGTTTTTCGCGCTGCCGTTGCTTGGTGATCGCTCCTCTTAATCCCATTATTCAATAGACGGTCCAACAAACCGGGCTAAAGTTACTTAACGGGCAAGTCTGGGCAAGTTTACCTCGACCTTACTCGACACTTACTCGACACCAACGGGGCTTAATTTTCAAAGGAGTTTACTACTCGCATCATTATTATAATCATCCTGATCGTCAATTTATCATCATTGTCATGCTCTACCAAAACAGTTCATCAGTTGTATTTACCTTGCACACACTGGACAGTTCAGCGGCACCAGAATCACCAATATGGTTCAAACTCAAATCCAGTTTAGTTAAGGTGTAGTTGACTGCAAGAGCCTGGGAGAAAGATGCAGCACCAGAAGTACCAATCAAGTTCCTACTCAAATCCAAATTAGTTAAGGAGGAATTGACTGCAAGAGCCTGGGAAAGAGATGCAGCACCAGAAACTTCAATCAAGGTTGTACTCAAATTCAAACTAGTTAAGGAGGAGTTGACCGCAAGAGCCTGGGAAAGAGACGCAGCACCAGAATTGTCAATCAGGCTCTCCCTCAAATTTAATTGAGTAAAGTTAAGGTGCTCTCCTAAGGTTTGTAGTAAACTTGCGTGCTCCGATAAACTACTTAGAGCAAATAACATACGTTTTGAAACGTCTTTAGCTGCGTCTTTGTCTAACTTAAGACTTGTGAAATTGATATTTGCGGCCACGCTTTTAACGAGAGATTCTGCCGTTTTCTTACTTTTGGACACAAGTATCCCAAGCAAGAATGCAAATACTTGATATAGTTTACGCTCATATCTTTGGTCCGCCACTACTGACTCGAAGCTAATTTTTCCTTTAATAAGTTTGCAAGCAAGAAAGAAACCAGAAAAGAATTCTTGAAAGCTCTTATGAAGAAATGCGTAACGCGCACGAATTTTCCTCTTGCTTGCAGCAGGCTGAAGTGAAAGGAATCCGATCTTGGATAGGACGATACAGCGACCGCCTGATTTATGTTCTTCAAAATACAATTCTCCGTTTTGAAGAGACTCCAACGCCATTCTTCCGAGATACAACAAGTCTTTACTGTAGACGGACAAGAGGTCTTCATTCTCGCTCGCTAGTCCTTTCTTTGCTTCATATGTTCCCAAAACAAAAAGAACAATCTCAATGTACAACTCAGTTCTGCTCGTAGGAAACACGCCCTTTAAATCCTCCCAGATAACACAAAGTAAAGTAGTGTTTAAAGGATTTTTTGTCAAATCGCGCAGATCTTTAGGTTGTCCTGGCTCAATTGACCAGGGGCCAGGCCATACCATTTCTATAAGCTTCCTGGTTAAATATTCTTTGTTGACGTTTTTAAAGTATTTATGAATAAAGCTTACTGCATCTTCCCGGGTAAATCCTACAATCTCCCACAGAGTGTCACAGTACCGCCTTGCATTCCTTCCAGCCTCATGACGAGATGTGAGAACAATGTGACAACCTGAGAGTTCTTTCCTTTCAATGAGGTTAAAGAACATTTTGAGGTTACTAGTATCCGCTTCGTCTAGTCCATCGAAAACTAAAAGAACCTTGGACTGATTTTCACGAATGAATTTAAAGAAGCATTCCTTAGTTTGATCGTCCATTTCCTCGGGGAGAATTTGATCATCAATAGCTTCCCAGATGTCAGATTTAATTTCGTGACATTTGAGAAGCAGTAACACTTCAATCTCTGGAAAAGACGGGTCCCATTTGTCTTGCTTAGTTGCCTAATCATACGCCAGCTTTTGACAATACGTAGTTTTTCCCATACCAGGATCTCCTTCGATCAAGACTGTTCGCGGCCTTTGGCATTCTTTGTGCGCCTTAAAGATAGCAGTCATATTGGTTATATCGTCAGTAAGTACTCCTTGGGTTTTTTCTTTGCCCAAGATTTTTAATCTGGTAAAAATATCATTCAAATGAAAGCTAAACTCGTCTAACCAAGGGAACGAAACACTAGTGAAACAACACGTAGAGGTCTCACTGTTTGAAAACACGTTGCCGATAAACAACATTTTCCTGTTTTTCTCTGACGCTACGGTAGACGTTGCCATGCTTAGTCCCTGTACGGCTTCTTCCCACGCAATCTCGGTCAAGGCATTTCGGTGGCGAAGTCGCTCGGACCACGTGACCCCAAACGCATTAGCCGCGAGAAATAATGAGGCCTACCGACAAGGAAACGGCTGACAGTGGCTCCGTACAGTCCTTCGCTATCATTAAAAACACTGGACACGGGAATTTTGTCATTGGCCGTTTTCACACTACAGCTAGAAACGGATTAGGCTACCTAATGAATTTGCTTTCCATAAGTACTCCAGATTAAACAAGGATTATCATTAACTCAAATACTGCAAGTCGCATCCATCAAAACTTCATATAGCAACACGAGAAAAAAAGAACAAATGAACCCATAAAAATAACAAAGACTTTGACCACTTTGACTGCCAATTGTTGTTTGCTCTGAGCTAGCGCTCGCAAGGTGCCTCTTTGTCCTCTATTCACCCAAGGAAAGCTCTCTTGAGGGACCTCACATCCGGGAAACTTGCACAAAGGTTCCCAGCCTTGTTTCACGTTGTACACCAAGGGCGGCTCCTTTGGAATGACGGTCTGTACTCGGTCATATTATTGTACTCGCGATATTTTTTCCTGAACAAAACGGTAGATTCTGTTTGTAAGCTGCCAACCGCTGCAACATTCGTGCAATCTAACAATGCATAATATTTACGGTGAGACCAGTTCCTCATCAACAACCTAACCAGGAATCCAGCATTTAAATACATATATATACAATAGTTAGTCGTTTCCTTTAGGTAGAACAGAGAAAACGGTTCATTTTGCAATAGTCAGTCAAAATTGAAATAGAGAGTTTTCAGCTCCACTGTTTGTGTGTTTTTTATTAATATTAGATTTTTAGCACTAAATAGAAGGCATAAGCTGTTTTTCGCGCTGCCGTTGCTTGGTGATCGCTCCTCTTAATCCCATTATTCAATAGACGGTCCAACAAACCGGGCTAAAGTTACTTAACGGGCAAGTCTGGGCAAGTTTACCTCGACCTTACTCGACACTTACTCGACACCAACGGGGCTTAATTTTCAAAGGAGTTTACTACTCGCATCATTATTATAATCATCCTGATCGTCAATTTATCATCATTGTCATGCTCTACCAAAACAGTTCATCAGTTGTATTTACCTTGCACACACTGGACAGTTCAGCGGCACCAGAATCACCAATATGGTTCAAACTCAAATCCAGTTTAGTTAAGGTGTAGTTGACTGCAAGAGCCTGGGAGAAAGATGCAGCACCAGAAGTACCAATCAAGTTCCTACTCAAATCCAAATTAGTTAAGGAGGAATTGACTGCAAGAGCCTGGGAAAGAGATGCAGCACCAGAAACTTCAATCAAGGTTGTACTCAAATTCAAACTAGTTAAGGAGGAGTTGACCGCAAGAGCCTGGGAAAGAGACGCAGCACCAGAATTGTCAATCAGGCTCTCCCTCAAATTTAATTGAGTAAAGTTAAGGTGCTCTCCTAAGGTTTGTAGTAAACTTGCGTGCTCCGATAAACTACTTAGAGCAAATAACATACGTTTTGAAACGTCTTTAGCTGCGTCTTTGTCTAACTTAAGACTTGTGAAATTGATATTTGCGGCCACGCTTTTAACGAGAGATTCTGCCGTTTTCTTACTTTTGGACACAAGTATCCCAAGCAAGAATGCAAATACTTGATATAGTTTACGCTCATATCTTTGGTCCGCCACTACTGACTCGAAGCTAATTTTTCCTTTAATAAGTTTGCAAGCAAGAAAGAAACCAGAAAAGAATTCTTGAAAGCTCTTATGAAGAAATGCGTAACGCGCACGAATTTTCCTCTTGCTTGCAGCAGGCTGAAGTGAAAGGAATCCGATCTTGGATAGGACGATACAGCGACCGCCTGATTTATGTTCTTCAAAATACAATTCTCCGTTTTGAAGAGACTCCAACGCCATTCTTCCGAGATACAACAAGTCTTTACTGTAGACGGACAAGAGGTCTTCATTCTCGCTCGCTAGTCCTTTCTTTGCTTCATATGTTCCCAAAACAAAAAGAACAATCTCAATGTACAACTCAGTTCTGCTCGTAGGAAACACGCCCTTTAAATCCTCCCAGATAACACAAAGTAAAGTAGTGTTTAAAGGATTTTTTGTCAAATCGCGCAGATCTTTAGGTTGTCCTGGCTCAATTGACCAGGGGCCAGGCCATACCATTTCTATAAGCTTCCTGGTTAAATATTCTTTGTTGACGTTTTTAAAGTATTTATGAATAAAGCTTACTGCATCTTCCCGGGTAAATCCTACAATCTCCCACAGAGTGTCACAGTACCGCCTTGCATTCCTTCCAGCCTCATGACGAGATGTGAGAACAATGTGACAACCTGAGAGTTCTTTCCTTTCAATGAGGTTAAAGAACATTTTGAGGTTACTAGTATCCGCTTCGTCTAGTCCATCGAAAACTAAAAGAACCTTGGACTGATTTTCACGAATGAATTTAAAGAAGCATTCCTTAGTTTGATCGTCCATTTCCTCGGGGAGAATTTGATCATCAATAGCTTCCCAGATGTCAGATTTAATTTCGTGACATTTGAGAAGCAGTAACACTTCAATCTCTGGAAAAGACGGGTCCCATTTGTCTTGCTTAGTTGCCTAATCATACGCCAGCTTTTGACAATACGTAGTTTTTCCCATACCAGGATCTCCTTCGATCAAGACTGTTCGCGGCCTTTGGCATTCTTTGTGCGCCTTAAAGATAGCAGTCATATTGGTTATATCGTCAGTAAGTACTCCTTGGGTTTTTTCTTTGCCCAAGATTTTTAATCTGGTAAAAATATCATTCAAATGAAAGCTAAACTCGTCTAACCAAGGGACGGGAAGAAGACGTCGTTCACGTGTTTTGTAGAGCTGACGGATCTTTTCTATGACATCGGTTGGGTATGGCAAACCTAGACCTAGGAAAAAAAATAAAGCCGCTTTTAATTTGGTTTGTGTTAAATTCTCTTTATTCGCTATTCAATACGTTAGAAAACAAAGGCAACTTTCGCCTAAAAAAAGTTCTGTCGCCGGCATGGCAAGCGTTCAAAAGTGAGGAAAGAAGGGGAGAAATAAGCGTCGTGAAAAACAAGAAGGACATGTGTTCTCGCTGAGAAAAATTCTTCACTGCCTAGTTCTCGTTGAAAAGATTTGCCTACCTATGCATGCGAAACAAAAGTGACAGCTTTACTCTGTATGAACTTACGGACGAGTGGGTGGTGGGGGTAATTCACCTCCATTTTAGGAAACGCAAAGACAAGTTCCCTCTCATTGGATTAAAATTTGTTTTCAACGTTCTATGGTACACTTAAGGTACGGAAAAACGGGCAACAAAAAACGTACAACTTGTCTTGCAACATTGCTGCAGAACAAGTTGAATCGCGATGTTGCGATGTTACCAGAACACATCAAACCTGTCTTGCAACAAATCCGGTTGTTAACAGGTTTGAACTTGAGTGGTAAAAAGCCCAACATCGGTTTTCAACTCATTTTGCAGCAATGTTGTAAGACAAGTTGCACGTTTTTTGTTGCCCATTTTTCCGTACCTTTAATTATGCCCTCAAGAGATAAAAAAATAAATAAATAAATAAATAAATAAATTTAAAAAAAAAAACAATCTTTTCCTGTAAATTTACAAATACATTTATTATAATTCATTTAAGTCTCTAAAGCTGAATACCCCAATGGTGCTCAGTCAGGTCTCTGCTTCTGAGGAGCTCTGGGCGTTTGCGTTATCTGCTTAAATGCAATGGATGACAATAAGAATGGAACTAATGTAGTATGAAGGGTATGTCAGATGGTTATACCCCTTCTTCCGATTAGTATTTAACGTTTTTTGAAACAACTCTGAAAACAATATGCAAGTGAAAATGATCTTTGCAGTTAAATAAACAACTTAAGCGACTGAAGAACCTAAAAAAATTCAGGCTTAACCGGGAATCGAGCCCTGACCTTTGCGATTGACCCAGACGCAACGTTCTATCCATTAATTAAGCTAATCAAGCCAACAGGAGAGCAGGCCATTGTGAGCTCGTAATGCACCCGATGCTAGAAATGACATAAATTTGAAAACAAACTATGTTGAAATTCGAAACTGTTACCCATTCAGTCCTTACATATATTCCAGTAAAATAAAATAAAAAAGAGACACTCTGGAAGACCTTCGCTTCTGAAAAAAACCAACTAAGAGGGCAACAATGGTTGTCGCAGCTTCCACAACAATCATTGACATAAAGTTTTCAGATCATGTGCAAGTTTTGCGACTATAGAAACTAAACGGATGTCACAACAGATAAATCGGTCGGATGACAACTGTAGGAAGAGAAGAAAAGAAACAGCCATGGGTGATTTCGACAGAACTGGAGCAATTTAGATAACAGTTTGTTGTAATGAACCAAAGACTGAATTACAGCTTGCAGTGGAATTCCGCCGTAAGACCATACAATGCACGACTACATTTATAACCACATTCTTTGCACTCAAGTATAAAAAAACGCTCCTGCGATAGTCAACTCTCTCTTTTAAACGGACACTTCCATAACACAGAGGCACCTGGCTAAAACGGATAGCAAGAGTTCGTCCCTGCCTTTCTTGACTCCTTTTCAGGCGACTCACTGTAAACAGACATCTCTCTAATAAGACGGACACGTGACTGTAATTATATTTTTTGATTCGACGCCATCACCTTGTTAACACTGGGAGTGGGTAGTCGCCACATTAATAGGGTTATTAGTTGTATACCTTGGCTATGATCAGCCTGCTTGGTTAAATCCGAAGGCCCAGCAACATCAGGTCTAATGGGACTACTGGCACTACTCGCCCTTCCGGAATCTGCATGAACATGTCAAGAATTAAAACAGGAGACCAAGAAATATGGCACAACGGAGGCCCCACAAATTATTACACAACGTTTAATAACGTGATACACTTAAATACACTTAGTGGCTTAATTACCACAAGATCACTTGAAATCTCAAAGGAAATAGCGGTAAAATTAGCCGAAAGAATCTTTATGTTAGTAATTGGTATGACCTTAACGAAGCTTGAAATTCCAAATTTTTCAAGATCAACTCATCCTACACTGTTCTGCCCTGCTTGTCCGTGACCTAGTTGATGGGAAACAGTTTAAACAATTCCAAGAGATGGAAGGTCATGAGAGTATTTCCTGGATAGATGTTTTTGAAGTTACTGACACATGAAACTAACATTTTATAGGTGCTGGAACGTCAAATTATGAATAAGGTCTTTTATGGAAGCAATTGCAGGATCCGGCGACTTTTCCATAGATACATATAGTATATTCCCCGTTAATCAAACCACCCTAAGTTCGCAGTGTTAAAGAGTTTAAAACCTACAAATTGGCTGGGTTGTATCTCCTAACACGGCCTACTGTATAGCATACCTTTCTCTTTAGACGCTTCTTCACTTTCCACTTCATTCAGCTTGTCTCTGATATCGTCTTCTACCTTCTTCCACTGCTTGAGAAGTTCTCTGAAATGTTCCTCATCGAGGAATTCAATGTCCTGGTCTTTCATTTCATCAATGAGATCTTCATAATCAGCTCCACCCAATCGTACCAGTGTGTCACGGATCTGCTGCCAGTAGCTATTGAATACAGCATCACTGAAAGAGCCTTCAGTGGCATGTTTGGATACGGCGTTCATGAAGTACTTAATGCGCGCAATGTCAGACTCGCGACTGGTGTCTGCTGTAAGAGGAGGTGTATCTCAGCCAGCGGGTGGAGGACGTAGATTACAGATTGTCCTTAGAAGCACAATCAAGAGGGGGATATCAAAACTTGCAGATGACACTTCAGTGGGTGTGGCAGGGTACAACCTACTCCAATGTACTGAAGTTAGGACTCCTTTCTTTCGCAGTAACTGTAGTCTGGAGTGCGCCGGGTCACGTTTCAACAATTCTCGAAGATTCTCCGGTGGAATAATGCTATCGAATGTATCTCTTAGCACTCGCGAGCCTACGCTGATCAGCAGACGACATAGACGAGAATAATTGGTTTTTCCTCGAGTAGACTTTGAAACTGAAGAGGAGCCTACAACCAACAACAAGAATCCCCATTACATACAGTCCTAATTCCTTTCACTGATCAGTTAATATAAACAGTACTCAAAAATAAAACACTACTATTCCAAAACACTGTACAATAGTCAATTACTTAACTTTAGCTAACCAGCGTAGCAGCCGCTTAAAAGTAGTGGGTACGGAAGCGTCTAATACGGTGAGGGACTTGACAGGTAACCCAGGCTTTGTAATAGTACCACAGTACGGTTTCAGTAAAATTACAGTGTTTGTATGGGGTAAACATGAATACGATCCTAAAATTTGTAGGAAACATTTCCTTCTCCAAACAAATATTTTGGCAAACCAGGGGCACCCAACGACTGTTTTCTGTAAAATATCTTTTCGGAGAGGTAAATATTACCCAATATTTTCAATTACTTGAGGACGGCTAAAACTTTCTAGATTACCGTTCTATTTATGTACCTTTTTTGATAACTTCTCTACGATTTTCTGAAGTTTAATTTTTCTCATTTCACTCCCGGATTAAAAAATGTGATGGAGAGAGCAATCAGAAAAATTCTCACTTTCGTAATACGTTTAATTGCATCTAAAATTTTCTGGAAAATAATACTAAAGCCCTTTTAATTTCGAATGGGCTCAAGTTCCCCTAGGATTACCGGGCAGGCACAAATTTTATAGCCCTGCTTAGAATACACTTCTAAATATCTACAAAGGCTCAGGATGGCCTCAAAAGTATTTGGAATGTTTCTAGGAGGTAACCGTCGCTGGGTGCTCCCGAAGGACACTTAGCAATACACTTTTGGTAGCTTTTTAAGCTTAATGTGATCCAATAATTCGTACAGTTAAAATACGCAAATAGCACGTGTTCTCACATGCAGCAAATTCTTTTTTTCTTCTCTCTCTCCCTCCCTACCACCCTCTCCACCCACCTTTTCTTTTTAGGGGGGAGGGGGCGGATTCGAGAATTCTAGAAGTTTTGATGTTCTTGAACTTAATGTACGGAGAAAGAGGGAAATCCTAGACCTGTTCGAGACAGACCAAAGCCAACCGTTCTGCCTGAGCGGTATGTACTTGCAAGTGAACTTAGTTATCTTTCATCCACGCATGCGTAAGCCACGGACTTAGAAAAAACGCCGCATTTAAATAATGTTAACAATTTTAATGAAGACAAAAAACACTTTTGACCAGCAACACCATTCAAGACTAGTATTACGCTGATTATTTTTAAGTCATCGGGGATACCTTCAGGGTCTACAGTTGTCCCCTCCGTTTGCTGAGAAGATTTATGGGTGGATTGGAAATTTCTGCGTTTTATTTCTGAAGAGCTCTGGTAATTTAAAGAATCATCTGTTGGTAAAAAAGAATAGATAACAACAGGCTGTTTTGGTAAATGCGGATGCATGGAATAATCACATAAGGCAGTGAACCGGGGGTAAAGCATATGATAGATGGATTGGGTCAATATTACTTTACTGCGTTTGCCAAAATGTAACATAAAACTTTGTAATGGACTTTTTTCACGATCTCAGCCGGGAGAAAAAAGGCAGGGGATATTACTCAAATTTTGCTTTGTTTGTTTATTTTCATTTCTTCTTAGAGTCCACTTCCTGTATTCCTTCTGCAATGCATTAAGAATTTTTTTTCATAAAAAAGAAAATTGATAATCTTACCGTTAACCCAACTGATCATCTTGTCAGTGAGATCTTTTATCTGTTTGGCCCAGTTGTATTTCTTGCCATAGGATTCGCGCAGAGTTTCCGCTTCCTCAAGCCGACTTCTCCTGTCCTTAACCCAGATTGCTTTGATAGCAGAGGTCCAATCTGCTGGTTCCTCTGAGTTCACTACATATGTTGATCCAAAAGGTACACTACATAAAGCTTCTCCAAAACCGGAATTGCGGCTGACAAGCAAAGGGAGACCAGCTGACAAGGCCTCGAGTCCTGTCAATCCAAAGCCCTCTGTCCTTGAAGGCATCACAACAAGATCCACTTCTTGAAACAAGCGCCTTAAGCTCTCTCGATCTTGAACAAATCCTCTTACTCTCAAGCGACTTGGTGGGACGCCAAATTCGGTCAACCGTTTTGCTATTTCTTCGTGTTTTCCATCTGGAGCCCCAACAAAGACAAGACGAGTATCTTCTAACTCAGCAACTGCTTTCCCAGCGATGTCAAATCCTTTCAATTCGAAATCCTCTACGTCTCCACGACCAAACACCAAGACACTGCGTTGCTGCCTTTCGCTCAGAGCCTGCTTCACAGCCGCAAACTCTACAAATACTCCCGGAGTGAAGTCAACAACATTGTCATCTTTTTGGCAGCTGCGAAGATAGGAGCGAAAGGCCTCGCTCAACTTGGGACCAACACCAACAACATGATCCGCCATTTCACACAGTTCTACTTCGGTCTTGTGCTTTTCCTCGCCTTTTGAAATTGGATCTGAATAGTTTTTGAACATTCCAAGTTCCTCTGGATCTGTGTGCACCACTTGAACCCATTTGCACCTTTTAGATCTTTTAATGATTTGTGCCTGTTTACCGAGTTTAACTCCATGACCTACGATAATGTCGATTTGCAGATCTTCAGGCGGAAAGCAAAGCCAGTCCAGTTGCTCAAAGCCAGGCAGTGGTGTTGCTTCAACGATCTTTACGTTATGCTTCAGGGCTAACTTCGTGTCCTCTTGACTGCATTGTGGTAAAAAGAAAGTGATTTCCACTTCAGGGCATTTGGCCAACTGAATGGCTAATTCTCTGTTTATGGTAGAAAGTCCTCCTTTGCTTGATCCCCATTCAGAAGCTAAAATAGTGACTCTGATCACTTTGTGGGACTCGTCTACTTTATTAGCAAGTGATTCAAATTCCCTTGAAGAAGGCATCAAAGTTGTCACACATCTAAAATGAAAATTGCACATCGAGAATTACATTTAACCATCAGTTGCAAAGGAGTACCTGAGGTAAAAAGGGCTTTTCTAACTCGAAAGCCTTCAGTTATTCCAAAAACGGTTCTATTTGTTAACACTGATTCAGTTTGCTTATTTAATTTGCTAAGAGGCTCAGGTAAGCTTTCGGAGCCTGTTTCCTGGTCTTTTTTAACGCTACAGATTTCTAGAAAGTGTAGTTCCCAAACAACCTTGTTCCCAGATACTGGGAACGAGGTTGGTTCCCAAAAGGATTTTTCCTCTTAATTACCGCATTGTTTACCCGGGTGCCAGAGACTTTTCTAGCGCGGTTTCCGGTTTCTGTCAAGTCTTTATAGTAACTCTCGGCTTCGCCGCTCGTGGCTTCGGCCTACGGCCGAAGATGTGCCGGCCTTCGGCCAACACCGAAAATTCCCGCCGCACGCAAGAAAAACCTCTAGTACCCAGGGTACGCATTGTTGAGTCCGGCCAGCGATTCTCGGTATTAACAGGCGCAGGCTAAATAACAGCTTATCCCCATCGAGGTAGTCCCAAGACGCTTTCACTAGGGGGGGAATCTATGTGAGTATGAACTAGTATAAAGGCTCCGAATTTAGAAAGGAGTCTGTTTTTTGAAGTGGTAACTGTACAACAGAAGTGTAAGTGTACAGGAGCCCATGACTATGGGCTCCTGAGCTGTACAGTTAGCCAGCTTAATGAAATTAATAGTAGTCAAAAATCATCCCTTTTTATGGGGTGTTTACATGACACCGGTAGACTTTCGCGCCGACGCGAGTTCACTCCGGTTCCTTCTCGAGGCTCTGTATTTGTTTACATGATACCAGCACGAAATGTCTTTCAGGCGCGTGTCACACCGACGTGAGGTAATCACGGTTGTCGTACCGAAGAGAGAATCGCAACGCAACGGTATCTTGTAAACGCGAAATGACCACTCGTTTCTGCGTGAAATCGGCCTGCCGGCTGTCTGCCGATAGACTGGAATGAGTAGCGCATGCGTAATGAATCATACGTGTATTTTATCAACATGAGCATGAGGTGTACCTTCAAATAAACGCAAAATGAAATGACCCACTCATCATGTAAACGCGAAACTCAAAGTAAATACTCTCGAGACCATGAATATTAAAATCATGACAGAAAAAGACAAAACATGGTGACAGGAACAGACAGTAGTATAGAAAAATGTTGAACCGGACGAGATGCTATATTTACTAGAACATTGAAATTGAAGCACTTCAAGCATGAAGAAAGAGCTTGAAGGATTTCATCAACCGTAGAACCCACAGCAAAAGGCAAAATAAATTTTAGTTGAAGTTGTCTAGCTTGTGTATAAACTGAAAGCTCTTATTAAACTGGAAATAAAAAAAATATTTAGCGATCAGCTGACTCTACAAAGTTATTGACGATCAACGGAACAAGACTTTGCGGAGATTTACATGGTAAGGAGTTAATCACGTGTTCATGAGTGGAAAACACGGAAAATTGTTATTCTCAGAAATTTTGCTTTTACATTACTTTCGGTTTCCGTTCATCTGTACAGCCACAAAGGAACGGGAATTGGCAATTTTTACCATGTTAAATGATCGATTGAAACCTAGAAAAGGCTAGAATAGTATTCATCCACAAAAATATTTCCAGCCTTTTTATTCTTTGAAGCGGTGTAATGGAGTTTTCGATTTGTGAATGTTTATTGCTTTATTTTGAAAAACATGGGCCATTAATATTTTTAATGTAAAATTTGCAAGACTGGTAACAGGCTTAGGTCTGCTACAAACGTCGTGCTATTGCCGTACCGAACCGCAATTGATCGAATTAAATTCGACTTCAAGCTTTGCCATGCTACACGACAATAGCAAGACTTGGTTTCAAACGTCTTGCTACCGGCCCGCCGAACTCAATTCATGAATTAAATACATTTTTTAAAATGTATTTAATAAAAAAGTTCACTAAACCGCTTCTTATTTTTAAGTTTTGTTTTCCACAACATTACTATTTTATTCGACTGAGATAAATTTGAAATCTGGAACCGCGACGTGGAACTGAAGTAGAGCCAGCTTAGAACGGTAATGGCACAATGTTTGAAACAGGCCTAATACGAAAAGTTCAGTTCCGTATTCTATTCCACGTGGCTCGCGTTCTCACACAACTTTTAAAGCTACTGAGGCATATCAACTTTCGAGTACAAAAAAGAAGCATAGCAGTTACTGGGAAAGAAACGTGAACAAGCGTCAACATCTTGTATGCAATTCTAGCCCAGTACCCGATCTTCAAATACCCGCAATTAGTCGAATATAACACTGAACATAGAAGCTGAATTAGCCATAGCTACGGACATGAACTACAGACTCCATCACTGATGCCATGAGTAACTAAGAAAGTTATTGCCCTGAGATAAGGCCAGAGCCCAAATGATCAGTCGAAGATTGAGACGACGCTGCTAATAATTACCAAAACGTGACTGTCCTAGTTACCTGTCTACTAAATACAAACCTTCCATAAGCGGAGATGGATTCTTCGCTGTTTTAAAAAGCTGATGTCAGATCGTCGCTGAGGTAATACTGTGAAAGCGAAAGAGGAAATTAGAGAGAACTAGGGGATCAATATGCCTGGAACTATGGAGGGTGGATGACGTCATACTTTTCAATGTTGAGGTTTTTGCATGATAGCTTGTGAGGAAATTTCCATATTGTGTTATTAGATTTTTGCCCATGATGTAATCTATGAAATTTGAAATACACATAACATAAAGAAATATCTGACATCTTCACAGCGCTTTTAAAAACAATACTGAGATATCCGCAGGAATCGGTTCCTAATTTTTCTGTCACGCGCTTCGTTTTGTAATTTGAAAGTTGCTTGCCCCAGATTCACTCGGTTAAAAAGAAAAATCTAGAGCTGCTTTGATGCCTGAGAACCAACAAGCGATTACAAAGTTCATCTGAAGACAAAATGGCTACCCAAAGAGGGAGAAAGACTCTCGCGAGTGAAGCCTTCTTCGCCGTATTTAGGCCTCATGTCCCGCAGTTAAGTAGCTGCGGAAATTTAAGCGAAAATAATTTGCAAAACCATGGCAGATATTTATTTTGGCGAGTTTTCTCCGATTTTGTCTCAAAGAACATTGTTTTAAAAGGGGGAAGCAAACACGAAACTAGGAATGGAGGCTACTGCATAGCATAACTAACTGTGGCCCTTAAACAAAACTGAAAACGAGAAAGTAAAAAATAAACCGAAAAATTCAGCAAACATCACAAAGCTGCGGATCTGCAAAAGACGCGGCCATCATCATCATCGCTGACCGCTGACCCACGGGTTGCGGGGGGAGGCAATGTCCCTTCTGATTAAAATGCCGTTGAACTGCGTCGTCGGTCTCGGGTTGTATGGCTCTTCTGTGTTCTCCAAATCGGTCTCGTAATGCGCGTTTCGCTGGCCGATGTATTCTGCTGGGCCGATTAGCGCTTAACCTGGGTTTCTTTTTCTTGTGTACTAAAGCATTTTCTCGGATAATTTTCTCTGTTATTTTTAGAGCTTCCAATCATCGACTTGTAGACAAAAAGAATTAAAACTGAAATGTTTTTTAAGCTTTTAAATCTGAATTAAAATCTCGCACTAACCCTGGGTTATCTTAATCCAGCTTTGAACAACTCGGCCCTGGTGTGTTGGGAATGTTTTTGCAGTTGCAACACTGTATCATGTAAATGAGATTTTTGGATGCGCATGTGGGCATGATGTGAGTTTGGCCTGTGTTTTAAAATGTACATGACGATGAGCCGTCTTTAATGAAGGGGCAGGTTTTAAATGTTTTGGAGTTGCATTTCTTTATCGTAGGTAGCGTCGGTACGCAATGAAAGGATTGTCAGGAAACACTTCTTTACAGCGATTTGAGGATTGAAGTATCGAAAGGTGTTCGGTAATGATCTTGTTAAGGCTCGGAGAGGCTGGGTTGTAGTTTGACACAAATTGGATACCTTGGTGAAGTTTCTGTTTTAAGCGGCTTGGCTGTAGGGCTTGGTCTTAGTTTTTCAAGATTAATTTTTTTGATGTACATGTTATTTTTAGAGGATGATCTTGTGTTATAAACATGAATGGACGATGTATGCTGGAACAAATTCACGAGTTTTGAGGGCGCAGTATTAGTAATGGGCGGGAATCAACAAAAAGAGAAATGGCATGATCATTCCTATTGGCAAAAAAATATGAATCGGAAACCTTTTTTCTGAAGCAATACGATTTTGCTAAATGTGTCTTTGATGCCTGTCCCCATACTATCAAACCATAGGATAAATAAGGCAAGATTAACGCACGGTAAATATTTAGCAAGGTATGTTGAGGAAAAGTGCCTCAGTTTAGCTATTAAACCAACCGTTTAGTAGCTATATTGTCAGTGTGCATTTGCCAGGAGAGATTTTTGTCAATCAAAATGCCTAGTAAACACTTAATTAACATAATTTTACATAATTTTACATTAGGTGGGTTCACACTAGACCCTCAAGTGCACTTGAGTTCAAGTGTACTTGAAAAGCACTTGAAGTGCTTACTTTTAA